CCCAATTAAATGATGGATACAATCAACACGTTGGCTGAACAGGTGGTCCAGGAGTAGCACCCTCCCTTCCACACTACTCTTAGCACCAAATTCTACACCACATTAAAAAGGTAAACCACAAAGGCCTCACCCCATTTACTTTCAGGTTCAGTTATATGAGTAAACATTAGCTGCCACCTGAATACTCGTAAGTGGCTTCTTCCGGCTCCTTTATTCGACACCAACATTCACGTCTCTCATGCAACCTGTGACAATTTTAAGGTCCACAATGGCCTTATGAAGTGTTATTCACAGGATTTGTGCAACTGGGTTCAACAGATGTGCCCTTCAATTGTGACGCGAGGTAAGCCGAGCTGTTTTGAAGCCAAGAAGCTCTGAAATCATGGCCTTGGGGTTTGATCACCACCAAGAAAGCAGCGGAAGGAGCTCTGAAATCATGGCCTTGGGGTTTGATCACCACCAAGAAAGCAGCGGGAGGAGCTAGAGCTCTGGTCCTAAAGGAAGGTGCTTTTCCAAGGTCTTGGTGAAACGGCAGGTGAGTCAGTGTATGGATGACACTGCTTCCTTGTTGCTTCAAGGAAAAGAATGTTATGCAGAGTAAACTAGTCTTGTCTTTGCATGAAATAGAATAATGAGGCTCTATAAAATACGTTAATTTTAATACATAAAACAATGTGTTATTTGTTCTCACGACTGACAAGTATTCATGTTAAATAACATCCCTCTATTTTTATTCTCACGATTAAGTGAGTCGGTACAGTGATGCGCGTCTAACGAAAGTACCTGCTATTTTGCTGACCTTACTGAATGCTAATCCTAGACCTGATCACCTGTGAATGAGCTGACTCCCTCTGGGACACGGGTTTGGGAATCAGAGAAAGACAACTACAGCTTCCCAGAGAAAGGAGCTAGGAGCACAGACTCCATTCCTCCCGTCTCTTGAAATTTTTCACGAGAAAGATTTCATAATTACCGAAGAAATCACTTAATAAATAAATACAATAAATACATTTACGTAAATTAAAAGGCACGAGAAACTGCCAACACTAGATTCTTAAGTGGTGTGCCCACAGCCTTACCGATCAGGGTGTGGAAGATGGCAGCGATGGCCCCGGCCACCACCATGCACAGGACGGCTTTGGTCCTGTCGCGCTTGCTGTTCACAAACACCAGGCCCACGTTCTTAAAGTCACTCATGGGCCCCGTGAAGAACTTCATGAGGGAATAGGCCAGCCCATAGCTGGCCAGCATCTCCACTGCATCCTCCTTGACAGCCGCAATGCCCCGGTTCAAGGCCTGGGAAGGGAAAAGACAACCCACAAACAGCATTAGACATGTCGTCTCATCTCTGGGGAATCACACTTCTAAACTAAAGCGCAACAGATCATGTTTCTATGGCAACGCTAAGCAGCTTACAGGGGAAATCTCACTGTAATTTCATACAAGTCATTAGTTTTCATCTTCATCCATATTAGCTTCAGTTTGAAAGATCTATTTGTGGGGAAGATGCCTGTCCGTTGGGGTTAAAGTCAGAGGAAAAAAAAAAAAAGCCCAACAAGCTTTTTATGTCAATATCAGAAAATAATTCAAAGACATTTTGGTTAAAAGCTTAACATATTCGATTTTATTTGCAGGCTGAATCTGTATAACAGGAAGAGGCATTCTGGAAATGAGTCAACCACTTTATATGGAGTGGGTGACAGTTTCTTTTTTCTTTTAAAAAAGGGGTGTGTGTGTGTGCATGCACATGCACGCAGACGTGAGCCCGTGTGTGCACACATATAATCTAAAATACTGTGTGTTATGTAGGTATCATTCATAGCACAGAATGAGTTCCATGCAATGAAAAACGGTATTGAAGTAATTAATCATACCATCAATGGATAGTCACCTGATTCTTAGTGTATTTTAACTAGAAATATATTTCTAAATTCAATACATACAAATACAAATAAACCCTCTAAACCAAATCTATGTTTCTGGATAATGGTTGCTCAAGAAGATGCAGATGTAGAATATTCTGATTATTTTAACCATCTTCCATGACGGGCTCTCTGAGGTGCTGGCGGGCCTTGTTGCAATGGCATTTCCAAACGAGCTTTCCCACCTCCTAGACACATAAATGACACCAGAGGTGGTGGGAATGGATGGCCAGGGGCACAGAACTTTTATTTTAAAAATGTCACCAGAGCACCGTGTCTGTCTCACAGGCAACTACTGAGCAGGAGAGTCAGCTCTTTGTATCGTTACATGCTTTTCAAAATAAGACTTTATGTTTCAGAGCAGTTTTAGGTTCACAGTGAAATGGAGCAGAAAGTACAGAGAGTTTCCATGTAGCCCCTGCCCCAATGCACACACAGCCTCCCCTGCTGTCAGCATCCCCGCCCCCGAGTGGGACATTTGTTACAGCTCATGGCCCCACACTGACACGTCATCATCACTCCGAGTCCACAGTTTACACTGGGGCTCACGCTTGGTGGTGTACATTCTAGGGGTTTGGACAAATATATGATGACACGGATCCACCGTTGTACCGCTGAACATTCTGTGCAAAGCACAGTGAGCAAAACCTGTGTTTATAGAAAAGTACCAACGTGCAAAACGATTACAGAAAAATCTGCAATGAAAATGTCTGACAGCTGTAGGAATTCAGGTTCTTTCTCCTGACAACGTTGGTATTACATAAGCTAGTTTCTGATAATTGTTTCCAATTATACCTCTAATCCTTTATTCCTTCTTTCCAATAATAACATAAAAATTTCCATAAGCACCTTTTCAGCCTGTGCAGAGCATACCTGCCATAATGCCTTCCTTAAAAAGCTCATTTTCCTTCTCCCAAAGCTGATCTAATACCTGAACACCCTAAAGCAAAATAAAAACCAAGAAGCTCCTTGATAATAAATCCCGTGTTCAACAGGCGGATCTAGACAGAGGGCTCCTGCTGTGTGTCAAAACCTACCACTTGGTAATCTTCCAAATTAATTTCTTTTTGGTCTTCTGCGGTGGATGCTGTGAGGGGTCCCACCCAGGCCCCTTTACCAGGCAGCACACGCATCTCAGAAACTGGGAGTTGGCCACTGATGGCTCACAGCTGCCTGCTTCTCAGGGAAAACTGCCCTAGCCACCTTGGGTAGGCTAAGCCACACGATTCCCAGGCAGCACGCAGCCAATGGCTGGCTGACCCACCCAGGGGTATAAAAAATCATCTGCCCCCCTCATGAGGGAAGTGAGGGCCCTCCCCTCCCCGCCATTCGTGTCCCAGAGCTCCCCATGGGATCAGGCAGAAGCTAATCTCCAGGAGACCACATCCTCCCCTAACTTCCCCACCACCCACTGCTTCCCTCGCCCCTCTCCTGAGCGCGCTCGCTTAATAAATCACTTGGACAAGAATTGCCCAACACAGGTTCTGTTTTCAGAGAACCTAGCTTAGGACAACTTCTAATTACGTTCCTGGCAGACGTTGAGAACAGGGTATGGTTTGTTCTTTTTCCTTCTTGTCCTTCCCCAAATCTATGACTGTAGATTATTTACATTTTTTTTATTGCTAAAATGTTTGTTCAAATTTAAATGATACATATGACTTAGTACATGTTTTAAAGGCACAGAGGAGGGCACTTAAATAATGTAATTTTAGACTTGCTAACGTGTCTTGCTGGCAAAACTGTATTCCTTGCTAAGAAGACGCCAGCCCTGGCTGGGGCACCCCTCAGTGCTTTCTCTTTCCACCAACAGTTCCCTGCTTGAGTCCTAAACCCAGGAATGAGGCAGGTGAGAAGAAAGGACACAGGCAATGACGGCTCTGTCGGCAAGGCTGAGTGTGAAAACTCCACTTAGAGCAACAATTATGGTCATTTGAGGAAAGAACACAGGGTGTAGAGCCACGCAGACTGGAGCCGGATCTGCTCCTACTGTTAAGTTACTCAGTGGTCTTGGCCAAGGTACTTATTCTCGTTGAAACAACCCAACTCATCTTAGACTGGACATAAGTGGTGTACAGGGCACCACGCAGGGACTGGCCGAGAGGAGGCGCTGGAAAGCAAGGATTTTAGTCTATTCTGTTTACCACTCTATGCCTCCCACCTTGCTACATCAGAAACTCTCAAATATTTGTTAAATGAATGAGCTATTTTCTACCAGGAACTTTAATGTTCATACTAATTTTTAGGAACTTAAAAAAAAAGGCTCATTTGTTGTCAGATATCATTACTTGTAAAAATTTAACATTTTTAATGACCGCATTAAATGCACACAGTGACGGAATCAGGATATGTACATATATGCTGATTTGAAGAAACATTAAAATGCGGGGTGGGGGGGAACTCTTTAGAACGGAGGACATGAGCGATATTAATATTACCCTTTTTGTTATTGCCATTTGTAGCAAGTATTTCCCCCAATTTGTTCACTTCTCAATTTCATGATTTTCTTTTGACACCAGAAATATTAAGTTATTATGCAGTTGATCAATCATTTCACGGACTTTCTTTGCATACTTTTGGACTCTGCCTACCCATCTACAGATAAGATAATTTTGTTCTAGTTTATGGTTTCATTTGCACACTTAACTTTTTACAGTCCTCCTAAAACTTATGCTGTGAAATATGGCTTGAAATTAATTTTCTCAAAATTGTTTACTTCTTCAAAACCGATTTGAATAAAACACCCATTGTCCATTTATTTGGGATGTTTTCTTATCAGGCATTAGGTTCTTATATGTCCTTCAGTCACCTATTGTTTGCATCATCTGTCTGTCTCAAATTGTTTTTTGTCATAGCATGCTCATTACCTGACATTATATTGTCTAGTTACTTGTTATTTGTCTTATTGTCTTCTCCATTTGACTATAAGCTCCCGGAAACTTCGTCTGGTTCATGCTACATCCCCAGACCTACAACATGATAGGGGATCACATGGTAGGTGATCAATAACTATTTAAAAGAATGAACTAAAATGTACACAGCAGTATAAACATTTACTGTGATAGGTGCTGAAGGAATGAAATATGCTACTGCCCCTGGAACGCCTTGGAAGAGCTTGCATGAAGTAGACAAGGAAACCCCTTCAAGGCGGTGACATTTTAGCTGAGATCCAAAGAACAAGAATGAACCAGTTGTCTGGAGAGCTGGAGGAAGGCATAGGCCTGCAGGAGGGCTTAGTCTTTCTAAGGAACAGAAGGGGGGCCAATAAGAGAAGTAGAGGGGTTTAGGGGGATAAGGTGAGTTTAGAAAAGCAGGCAATGCTGAGGTCATCCTAGGTTTAAAGGAAGAATGTGTGTTTTCTTTTAAGAGCAGTGGGAAGCCATTGGAGGGTCTGGGCAGAGGTGGGACAGAGGCTCATGCAGGTTGCAGGGATGGAAGTGGGCTGCAGAGGGAAGGACAGAAGCAGGAAGTCAAGGGCTTTGTGGTCCTCCAGGTAAGAGAAGCGATGGCTTGGACTAGGGTGGGAAAGTGGAGATGGGGAGAAGCGGATCGCTTTGAGAGATTTTTGAAAATAAAAAGAATGGATCTGGTGGTGGGCCACATGGTGGGCATGAAGAAAAGGAAGAAACCAAAGATGACCGTTGAGTTTTTTGGCTTAAGTCACTGGTCATATGGTGTAGCTAATGGCCGAGATGAGGAGACTGAGGGAGGGGAGGTTTGGGAGGAAAAAGCAAAAGCTCCCTTTGGGAGCCCCCTATTGGATCTGAGATGCCCCTTGAATTCCAAATAGAGAAGTTAAGTAGCGTCACTGGCTCTATGAGTCTGGAGTCCAGGGTAGACATCTGGGCTATGGACATACACTTTGAGGTCATCAGCATATAAATAGTATTGAAAGGCAGGAGATTAAAAGAGTTGATCTAGACAGTATATAGACAGAAAGGAATCCAAGACTCAGCTCTGTAACACTCCAGAAATAAATTTAAACACATTAAGGATGTGGCAAGCCTTCCGTGTTATATCAGCGTTACAGCTACGCTGTAGTTCAGCGTTTGTGAGCTAGCTAGTACGGTTCTGGCCATGACACTCCTGAACGCCACTGCATCTCTAGCCAAGACCAGGAAGAACAGCTGCTGTGGCTGATGAAGAAGAACTTCGGTCGTGAAATTCAGCTACGGGAGGATCTGAGATGTTTTCGGAATGAATTAGGCCTTTGAGTCAGAATTCTGTCCTCAGAGAGTTGTAAGAACAAAGGTTCACCTGCTGTTTAAAGACAAGTTTCTAAACCTTCATGAGCTTCCCAACATAAAGACACGCTAGATGAAGGCCAGCTCTAACTACTCTGACCATTGTAGATGGAAGCTGCCTGCCAATCACAGC